CATCATGGGGATAAGCAAATTCACACCAGGGAGAAACCACATGAGAGCATTCATCCTGGGGGAAAAATGTCTCCTGAATGTAAAAATGATGAAAATGCCAATAGCACATGCTCTTAAGGAACTGTGCAGAAAAGAAAACATGCCAGAAGGAAATCCTGTGAATGGCTCAACTTTGCACCCTACGAAGCATGACGAAACTCACAGCACAGGGAAATATTTTGAATGGAGTCAGTGTGGGAAAGTCTTACAGGGTCACTCATCCAGGAAAGTGCATATGAGAAGCCACCTGGAGAAAAGCCTTTCAGGTGTCATCGAAGTGTGAAAGCCTTCAGCTCAAGCTCTTACCTTACACGACCCAAGAGGACTCATCCTGGGGAGAAGCCTCATGCATGCTGTGACTGCAGGAGAGCCTCCGAGACAGCCCCCTTCTTAGACAGCATGAGGAATTCATTCAAGAGAAAAACCCTACAGATGTCGTCAGTGTGGGAAAGCCTTCCACAGGAGTGCGAGGCCTAGTGTGCACAAGGTATACACACTGGCGAGAAATGCCATGAACACTGAGGAAAACCTTCAGTATCCTTCTATACCTCCCAAGACTTACGAGAACCCACACTGCAGAGAAATCCACCGAATGTAGCCACTGTGGAGAATTACTAATTGAAACACATTTAAAAATACATACTGAGAAATCTTATGAGTGTGAAAAATGTGGAAAAACATTTAGAACCAGCTCTAATCCTACTGTGCCCAAGGAAATACATACTGGAGAAAAACCCTGTACGTGTAAGGAGTGTGGAGGAACCTGCAGAACCACTCATGTCTTAAGGAACACATGAGAATTCACACAGGAGAAAAACCCTTCATGTTCAGTCAATGTGGAAAAACTTTTAGAGTAAATTCTGACCTTATTCTTCACAAGAAATTTCACATGAAAACTAGACACCATGAATATAAGGAATGTGGGGAAATCTCCAGTGGTCTATTATCTGATAAGAGTACATATGAAAAATCACACCAGGGAAAATAAATCTTTAAACTGTAGTGAGTGTGCAAAAGTCTTTGGGGAGAATGAATATCTTACAATACACATGAGGACTCACAGTGGAGAGAGACTATTTGAGTGTCATCAGAGTGGGGAAAATCTTCAGTGAAAGGCGTAATCTGACCATGCACAAGAGAATACATACTGGAGAAAAATCCTAGACATGCAATGTCTGTGAGCAAACTTTAGTGAACTCTTATCCCTCAGGCATCATTAGAGAACTCATGATGGATAAAAATCCCTTCTAATGTCACATATATAGAATAGATTTAGTGAACCTTCAGTCTTTAAGACACACAAGCAAAAACCAGCAGGTGGCATGGTCAACTGGACTCCCACATGGTTGACTACAGTTCAAGTCCTGGCTCTGGTGGGGTTTTTTTTTTTTTTTTTATCATTTTCCCCTTCTCTGTCTCTCTCTGGTGAGTATGCATGCCTTATAGCAAATTTTTAAAATAATAATGATAGAATTAAATAAATAATCCTTATTTTTAAAAGACATACAAGCAAATGTTAACTGAAGAGAAAAATGATGACTGTAGAGAATGTGAGAAAGCCTTGGAATACGAATACACATACAGAAGAAAACCAAGTTGTGCAATGACTGTACAAGAGATCTGCATCCACTCATCCTTTACAAGATGTATGACATCAATGCTGAAGAGAATACTTACAGAACTGTAAGACATGCACTTTGGAAAAAATAAACTCCTAGTGTTTTAAGGGGGAAAAAAAATCATACATTTTTAGGTAATATGCTTATTGGAAGAGCAAGGAATCAATCTTAGTTATAACTTTTGAAATAATCATACTGAGACCAGCAGTTAGCATAATGGCTATGTCACTGGACTCCCACATAGTCAACCGTGGTTCGAGTCCTGGACCTGGTGGCTTAAACTCATGCTGGGAGCATGTGCGTGCATGCCCAAGATCCCAAGAGGAGAATGGAGGAGAAGGGATTGCGGCATGGCCATCCGCCCTGGGGGGTGATTTCTCACTTTCTGTCTCTCTGTTTCTGTCTGGCGAGGACACGCAGCCTATAGCAAAAACCTCTCAAAAAAAAAAAAAAAGAAAGAAAGAAAGAAAGAAAGAATCATACTGAAACTAATGTCTGTGAGAGTCTATTTGGTAAAGGGAATATAGTGGCAAGAGAGTCAGCCAAAAGCCCAGGCAAAGCTAACAATACCACATAAAAGGTTCCTATTTCTTTAAAGAAAGTATGAAGTACTGAAAATTATTTAAGTGACATTACATCTCAGAGTGGATCATTTTCTGTCAATATCCAGAGGCTGTTTGTCTGGATCAGTCAAAATGCTTACTGTTGAGTAAGTTGCTAGAGAAAGTTCCAGAATAGGAAATACTGGTCCAAAATGAATTTCAGATCACCAGTTTCAAAACGGCCTTGAACAATGCTTGACAGTTCTAACTACTTCTTTGGCCAAGCAGGTCTTCCTTTCTATAATATGTTTCACATTTCCTGACTTTGCTTCAACCAGTCACTTCATTTCAAGAAGCCATCATCTCTCCCCCACACCCAAACACAAGCCAGCTTACTCCTGCTTCCGGGCTTTCCCCCTTCAGTTCCTTCTCCAAACTCAAGGCAGAGGCTCTTTCAAAAGAGGGGGGAAGCCCATTTTTCTCCCTCTCTTGACTCAATCACCACAATTACTTTCTAATGGAAAAAATTTTTACACTCTTGACTTTTACGTGATTTCATCTCAAATCACTTCCCTCTTTACCTTCCGCTTTTTTTTTTATTCTTTATTTTTTTTAATTCTTTTTTTTTTATTCTTTTTTTTTTATTATTCTTTTTTTTTTTTTGGAGAGATTTTCACTGTAGGGCGCGTGCGCTCGCCAGACAGACAGAGAGAGACATAGAGACAGAAAGTGAGAAATCACCCCCCAGGGGGGATGGTCATGCCGCAATCCCTTCTCCTCCATTCTCCACTTGGGATCTTGGGCACGCACGCACACGCGCCCGGCGTGAGTTTTAAGCCACCGGGTCCAGGACACGAACCATGGTCGACTACGTGGGAGTCCAACGACATAGCCATTACGCTAACTGCTGGTTCCCTACCTTCCGCGTTTTGACTGCACTCACTTAAATCTGGTACACGATGCTCCTCTCAGCTCCACCTCTTTGATCCATCTGCTGGGGCTCACAGTGCCATAAGCCAGGTAACTTAAAGTGACAGAATTTACAGATTCAGAGCTCAAGTTCCAGAGGATGGAAGAGGGAAGTGAAGGGGCCGGCCAGAAGTCCCTTTAAAACCGTAGAGAAAGCCTTCCTCACCCTGTCCTAGCTTCTGGTGGTTTGCTGGCGATCTTCGGGCTCCTTGGCTTGTTCATGCACCCTCCAATCCACTGTCTTCATATCATGTTCTCCTAAGACATCTCCCTGTTACTAAATGTCCCATTTATATTAAAAAATCCAGTCAGAGTAGATGGGAGTCCAGTCCAATCTGGGACCAGCAGTTAGTGTGATGGCTATGTTGCTGGACTCCCATGTAGTTGACCGCGGTTCGAGTCCTGGACCCAGTGACTTAAACTCACGCCAGGCATGTGTGAGTATGTGCCCAAGATCTCGAGAGGAGAATGTAGGAGAAGGGATTGCAGCTTGGCCATCCCTCCCTTGGGAAGCGGGTGACTTCTCGCTTTCTGTCTCTCTGTCTGTCTCTGTCTTTCTGGTGAGCACACGTGCCCTATAGCAAAAACCTCTCAAAAAAAAAACATGTTTGACAAACAAGATGGCTCATGGGAAAAAGGAAAACAATTTAAATATTATGTTTTATTGAAAAAATATTAAAAATTCAATTTGTATGTATTAATCTCTGTACTGAACATTCACAGAATTTAGCAATCATATTATATTGAATTTAAAAGTAAAAATGACTCCTCCCAGGAGTCATATACTGTTACTGTTTCCATATAAGGCTTGACTTTTTTAAAATCATAAAGAGTTCCCAACTTCCCCAAAACTTGCCCTTTGAAAGGCATATGTAAATGTGTTTGTGCGCGCCTCCGACATATTTTTCCGTAACAGTTATGTTGCATGTAATTACACAGAGAGACACCGTGAAGGTTTTCGTGACACGGCATGAGTTCTGTTTGGAGTTCAGCA